GCGCCCCGGGGCCGGAGCCCGGGGGGGGGAAAATGAGGCGGCGGCCGCTGCTTTCCCTTCCCTCTGACAGCTGAGAGATGTTTTTTTTTATTATTTCCCCCCCCCTCCAGGTTTTCATGATCAGCACTGGGGGAGCCGGGAAATCTTGTGGCCGCTGGCCTATTTTGATTTAAAATTGCTGTCAGTGGACGTTTCTCCTTCTGCTCCAGCATCGTTGTCCTGTTCGCAGCTATTAAGGCTTAAGAGGCTTGATTCTCTAAGGCTCGTATCCAAGGGCATCAGTCATTAACACACTGAGCTACATCTGCTTCTTGGCTAAGACTGAAGAAAGACATCTTAAGCTGGAAATCCTGCTTGCTCGCTCGCTCTCTAGCGCATACGGAAGGGGAAGCATATGCAGAAGCAGGTTCCTCTTTTTTTTTTTTTTTTTTATTTTTTTATTCCAAAAGGCTGCCTCACTTTGGAGATGCGGTGACAAGATAATGGAGTGAAAGTCTCCCATTTCCAGGGAAGAAAATTACAGGAGTCAGCCAGAGAAAGGAAGGAGCAAGTTAAATAACAGGAGAAATAGGAAGGAGGACAGTGGTGAAGAACTGAAAATAAAATTAGAGGAAACAGGTGGAAGGCTGGCATAAAGCTGGGAGATATTTTAGGCTGAAAGTGGTTTGTTTTGGTTTTTTTCTTCTCTTTTTTTCTTTCTTTTTTTTTTTTTTGTTGGTTTTATTCTAAGCTGTTTTTTGAGATCCCTGCAGTAAACCAGGCTGCATTAGTGCAGAGCAGCTTCCCCAACGTGTCCTTTTCTCTCTCCCTGCCTCCTGTCTCTGCTGTTGCTGCTGCTGACAGAAACGTGTTAGGAAAGCAGGAAGAGAAAATGCCAGCCATCCTGGTAGCCTCCAAAATGAAATCGGGACTACCTAAACCCGTACACAGCGCTGCTCCAATCCTGCATGTCCCAACGGCCAGGACCATCCCACAGCCCTGTTACCTGAAGTTTGGGAACAAGGTGGAGGTGACGAAGCCATTGTATTCCAGCCAGATTCCTCTCAAATCTCCTAATGGACAAGAAAACACAGGAGATGGACTCCTACCAAGGAAGAGTAGCTCGGTAGAAAATGGATTTGACACACAGGTTAGAAGGCACCAAACGTTGGGGAGGTGTATGCAAGAATTTATTTCTATACTGAATGTGTGCAGCGGGTTTTCTGAGGTAGATAGATAGTGGTGTGAACAGCAGTGAGGGAAGGGGGGATGTGTGTGTGTGTGTGTCTGTAATAACATCTGTCCACAGTGGTGGGATGTTTTATATTCCACATAGTGGCATGTGTTACCAAGGGATGGCTTTGTAATTTTGTCAGCATGGTGGAGCTGACGGTGGGGTGGTGAGGGATGGTGCAGTGTGTGCTGTTTGCCTGCGTTGCCTTCTCTATTGCCTTTGCTTGAACTTGTGGGGTTTATGGAAGGGAGATGGTAGAGATGTTGGTTATGGGGTGTGTTCTTTGTGTTCTTTCTGTAGGTGCTAATTGTAATGGCTGGGTTGTGTGCCTGAGATGGGGAAAGATTGCTGCCTGTCATGAATGTGTTCTGTGTTTGGTCGTGTACTGTACTGGAGCATTAGTCCTGTGAACATTCTGTATTTGAGTTGTGTGGGGAGTGAATGGGAGGCAGCGCTTGATGGTAAATTACAATACGCATGCCATTCTCAGTGCAGCTAAATTAAAGAGTTCATGTAGGAAATGACTACTCAGGTGGAATTGTCTGGTTTAATGCTATATGTGCATGACATCACAGATGCAGCACGTTATCCATATGCATTTTTTAGCTCTCCCTTTAATCTGTATCAGTTTCCTAATGTATTTTTATATATGCTGCTTCCTGTATAGGGAGGAGAAATGTACGTTCTTCAGCTCATTTAATTTTTGTCGGCATAGTAATGTTTTCAGCATGGCTCGGAGTGCCTTGCACTGCTGATGCCCCAGCGTGCTCAACAGCAGCGTAGGCAGATAGTCTGTGTTAGCGTACTACGGTGCGAGCCAAGCAGATGGTCTGCTGCAGCGAGCAGAATTGATTAACGTTATGTAGAGATTGCTGTATAGCAGCATGATGTATTTTGGCAACGGTCATATACATTACAAGCTGCTTCTACCGCTACCTGAGCCCAGTAGAAGGTGATAGCATTATACTGGGACAGGGAAATGATGACATACTACTTTTTTTTCTTTTCCTTCCTCAAGGAATAATGGGTCATCCCTACCATCTAGCTTTTGAAATCTATGGCCTCGTAACCCTCTTCTCTTAAGACAAGTGCGACTACTGATTGGGCGTGTTTGGCCCCGTGCCCTGAATTTTAGGCTATGCTGCGCTTTCATTGCTGGTAGACAGGGTGACGTATCGGGCTGCTCAGGCCAGACGAATACGACTGTAGCAGTTCCCGAGGGACTGAGAGCAGGCAAAGGAGACAGACAAGTATTGGTGGCAGGGTGGTGGCAGCAGACAGACCGACTTGTGCATCACATCTTGTTCTTAAGAGAGAAATAAGTACTCTTTTTTTCCTTGTGCTAGAATCTGTCCTTGTGATTATGAAATGTCAGCAAAATCTCATCATATGCTGCTCTTTCTCTCAGGCATGCCTTGGTTTCTGCATAGAAATTTGCATTCCTG